CTCCGTGAGTTTGAGGCCAGCCTGGGCTACCAAGTGAGTCCCAGGAGAGGCGCAAAGCTACACAGAGAAACCCTGTCTCGAAAAACAAAAACAAACAAACAAACAAACAAAAAAAGAATCACAAAGATAACACAATCCAGATTTTCTGTGTAATATTCATCTCTATGTGGCTTATTTTTTATACTACCTTTACTGTCTCTTTAAAGACTTTATTTTAAAAAACTATTTATTTTTTATATAACTGTATATATTCCTTTTTTTTCTCTTTTAAGCCTATGTATATTTTTATACATATTGTAAACTATTACATCTGAATCTGTCTTATTGTGAATCTGTTGTTTTAAACTGAAGCAGCTGTGGCTGCTGGCTCCGCCCACCTCAGCTTCCCAACATGGCAGTGTTACGTTTTCCACCAGCTCTGGGAGCTATCGTGGGTCTATGCTTTTAGCCAAGCAGCGTGTAGCCCAGAAACCTCTTTTTTTTGTTTTGTACTAGCAAAGTCTAAATCCACCAAGCAGCTTAATGTGCCACTTGTAGAGGCCTCATTCCCGCCATACGGCAGGTCGAGCGCACACGCTAGGAACCCGCCAGTAGCTCAAACCCGCAGCTGCCGCTCATTTGAGAGAGACAATTAGGAACTGTTTTTAGCTCCGTTTTAGAATTTTTTTTTTCAGTTTTTAGGTGGAAACTCTTGCCCCACGTTGGGCGCCATTTGTAGCTAAAGTTTTCCTGCCTGGCCCACAGTTGGGACAAATCTCTGTCACCTGCCAGTCCCACAGCCGCTCAGACCCGACCAAGTAAACACAGAGACTTATATTGCTTACAAACTGTATGGCCGTGGCAGGCTTCTTGCTAACTGTTCTTATAGCTTAAATTAATCCATTTTTATAAATCTATACCTTGCCACATGGCTCGTGGCTTACCAGCATCTTCACATGCTGTTTGTCATCATGGCGGCTGGCAGTGTCTCTCTGACTCAGCCTTCCATTTCCCAGCTTTATTCTCCTCCTTGTCCCGCCTACTCTTTCTGCCTAGCCAATGGCCAATCAGTGTTTTATTTATTGACTAATTAGTAACACATTTGCCATACAGAACATCCCACAGTATCCTGGGTTCTGAACCTACCTGGACCTGAGCTGAGGAGGCTGGGAGATGGGGAAGGGGGAATTCCTCTCCAGATGTCTTTATAAGAAGCAGAGGAAGACTAGGCAGACAGGAGAGGCCACATGATGGTGGAGGCAAAGGCTTCAATGACACAGCTATAGTCAGAGTTGCCAGCAGCTACCAGAAGTAGAGAGGCTAGGGATACTGTGCCAGTATCCTCCATGGGAACAGGACCCTGCAGACACCAGACTCCAGCCTAGTGGTACTAACTTCAGACACTTGCCTACTGAATTGTGACTGACTTGCTTGAAGCCTCTAAGGTTGGGGTACTTTATCACAGCAATTATAAGACACTAATATGACAACCTCTACCCTCTACCCCAGCCTAATTTTTTAAAGGAACAACCATTTAAACCACAAGTTGGGCAAACTTAGATGTCCAGGTATGTGTTCAAAGTGAAGTGATATTTAAGAGACACACAGCTGAGTAAAACTTTCCACTTGCAAAGATGCAGGAACTTGTTCAAATCCTACCTAGAAGTGCCTCCCTAGTTACTAGAAGAATGTGTTTGTTTAGCACAAGAAATTCAGACAGAATTTTATAACACCACAGCATTGTACAGCATTGTAACCCAGTTTCTGAGGGAAAACTCTAGCCATGGGGAGTAACTGGGCCAAGACACAGCCTTAGCAACGAGCCCAAAGGTCTGGGAACATTCAGGTTACTAGGCAGTCTCCATACCAAAGGAACATTCACGCTAGGGGAGAAAAAGGCCTTCAAACAGCAAGAAAGAAATGGCATAGATGTTACAGAGGCCAACTGAAGCATAAGGAAGGAGGCTGCGGTTTGACCATGAGAGAGAATGTGGGTGTGCTATGTAGAGGGAAGAGGGAGCTGGTAAGGAGGGCTTGGTGAGGGTTGTGAGCACTGGTCTAGGACAGGCAGAAAGCCAAGCAGCCATGCCTGGGGTTGCTGAGGCAGCAGACCACTGGAAGCCACAGGAGAGAGTACCTGGGCACAAGTTGATGAGACATTCAATTAAAAGGATACATCCAGCTAAAACCAGAATCCACTAGGGGAAAGGGAACCAGAAATTGGTTGAGTAGCCACAGATTGGCCAGAGTTAGGACTGGAGCCCAGGAAGAGTTAGAGCCAGTGAGGACAGACCTAAGGGATACCTGAGAGGTAACCTGGTAAGACCTAGTGACAGCTAAAGGCAGAAATTGAGAGTAATCCCAAGTTTCCAATTTGGGTAGTAGAGCAGACAGCAGCCTCTTTAAGTAGGACAGGACATCAAGTAACAGGTTTAAGGATAGACAGAGGAGATAAATTCAGCTCTGAGTCCCTTTCATGGACTCCAGCTTGTGAAGTCCATGGCTGGGGGTCGTCCAAGTGATAACTGCTAATGAGGTGGTTAAATAAACAATGTGTGTATAAACATTGACATGGAGGCAGAGCTAGAGATCCTGCTTAGTGCTTATCAAGGGGTAGAATCATGATGGATTTCTCCTCAGTCCAGAGGCAGACATGAAGCCTATGGGGGACAAATCCAATGGCACATACAGGTATCAACAGCCAAACCCTACAAAAGACACTAATGAGCACAAAGATGTAGTAGCATCAACCCCAGAACAAAGCTGAAGTTATAGCAGAAGGGCAGAAGTGTCAGAATCCCAGAGCAATTACAGATGACAGGACAAGGTAGAAGGTACAGGTTTGCTCCAGTGGAGGAATCAATACACCTGAGGCTCAGAGGTGAGCTGAGAGGAGAGACAAGCAAGGCTTGTCTACATAGATGTGGACCAAGCTATCAGGTTATTGCAGAGTGAAGTTCAACTCTCGTCTAAAAGCAATGGAGAACCTGGTGTTAACATGGGAGCAAGGGAACGTTTTAAAAGACTTTTTCACTTGCAAAGCCAGGGTGGAGTAAAACCTGGAGGCTGGGAGAGCAGTTAGAAAGTGTGTGTGTGTGTGTGTGTGTGTGTGTGTGTGTGTGTGTGTGTGTGTGTGTGTGAGAGAGAGAGAGAGAGAGAGAGAGAGAGAGAGAGAGAGGTGCTTAAAGTGACTGCATTGTCAGAGCATCTTCCCTAGAATGGAAGAAGTGGAGCAGAGTAAATGTAACAGGACAAGCAAGGCCACAGCCCTCAGAAATCCAAAGTGTGGATATGGGCAGGGAAACAACACAGGAGTCCAGGAAGGTGCAACCAGGGCAGGAAGCCCAGGGCAAAGTGGCATAGCACTGCCATTGGGTCTGAAGAAGGAACTGATAAAATATCACATGCCAAAGGTCACCTGAAAGATCCAAAAGTTTCTGTTGTGTTTGGCAGTTAGGAGAACTGGCAACCATGGTTGAACATGGAGATGCCTAGTGTACAGGCAGCAGACACTGGAGACATAGCCAATGAGCTGCAGATGGCTGAGGAATAGTTGGAGAGAGGCTGCTTTTCACTCTGTGTGGTTATAAAAAACAAATCTGGCTTCTCTCTGGGCCTCAGGCTCTGCATCAAAATACTGATTTTTCTGGCCTGTAAAAAGAGGGCAATAGTGCATGCTAACAGCCTCATCACAGGTGGCCCTCTGAAAGCCCTCTTACAAGATCACTTCTTGCTTTAACTGCCACACAGTTCAAAATACAAAGACATTTAAAAAACAAAAACAAAAAACCTGGAATGACTGTAGAAAACTTTAAGTGTGAAATTCTGAAGTCTTGAAACTAAAAATTCAGAGCTATTCATTTGAAGTTGGGTTTTTGTTGTTGTTTTGTTTTGACCATTTGGATCAACCTAATGCAAGATTCCTTCTCCCACATATCCCTCATACACTTCATAAAGCTATTTTACCTTGACTGATGTGGCTAAAACCCACCTTCTGAAGTAGATTTGAAAACCACATGCTTCTTGAAATTTAGGACACCTAATTTAAGATCTAGGCATTTTTAAGGTCTGTTACAGAAATTTCACTTGGTGTGACTGTCTGTTGCTGTGTTCCAGGCTCTAGAGAACTGTCCGACTGTCCTGTGGCCCGGAGACCCTTTTTTTACAGCTGGGATTTGCAGTTTGGCATTTGTTACCTAGCTGTCTGGTTTTGGCTGAATACAAAGTCATCTGACAAATGAAACTGTCATTTTCATACAAAAAGGCTAAAAGAGAATTGATGTTGCCGAAGAAGAGTTGTGTGGGTTTTTTGTTTTGTTTTGTTGTTGTTTTAATGAGACAGGGTCTCACTCTGTAGTTCAGACCAGCTAACAGGAATTCTGCCTCAGCCTCTTGGGTGCTGGGAGTACATTCGTGAACCATCCTGCCCAGCTTCCACACCATTTTGAAAGGGAGAGGTTTGGATCTGTGATTGACAGGCAGATGCTACAGAGCGAACAAGAGGAACTGCTGATCTGAAGGGAGGCAAGCCTGAGAGCTCATTTTGTTCACTACAGCTCTCTCCAGGAGAAAGAAATGGAAATAAGCCACTTTCCGATAGCTCCGCATTCAGGGGCTTCCCACAGCCACATCGCCACCTACCCTCGGGGCGTCCCCAAACTCCACGGCTCGTGGCCGCGCCTCCTCGGAGAAGCACCCACGCTCCCGCAGGCCCGCCCCCAGCCCGCCCTCCGCCGCCCGGCACCCAATCCCACCGCCGCGCACGTGACGAGCGCTGCCTGCGATGACCTCATCCCTGGTGTGGGATGACGTCAAATTCAAGATGGATGGAATCACAGCGGCAGCGGCGGCTGCGGGTTGCGCTAGCCGAGTGTGAGAGGAAAGGGACCAGGCACCTGCCCGGGGGCTGAAGAGTGGTGAGTAACCGTCACGTCTCGCGCCCTCGAAGGACGTTGGGCCCTGTTGGGGGTTACGGCCTCCCCGCAAAACGCGGCCTTTCCTGACGTAACTCTGAGGTGATTTCTCTCCTTTTTTCCTCCCCCAGTGGGTTACGGGCGCCCGGCCCTTCTACGCGTGCGCGGGGCCGCGGTCCTCACCGAGCATGCTCAGACTCCCACGTAGCCTAGCGTGCCTTTACACTGCGCATGCTCTGTGCCCGCACTTGGCCTCACCCTCACTGCTGCGCATGCTCAGCCTCCGGGCCCGCTGAGCTGCTCACCCTGACCGGGATGGCCTGGGTAGCCAGGGAGTGGAGTCTCGGGACGCGCGCCCCTAGAGAGCCGTTGAGATGCCGCTGCGGGCAAGGGCACATTCAGGGCCTGGCAGCACGCGCGCGCGAGACCGGGGAGCTGGGTGGCACCCCGCACCTGCCGCGGCTGGAACGTGACAGCCTGTCGGCCAACCCCTCCGCGGACACCTCCTGAGCCCATGCAGACCCTGCCTCACCGTCCCCCTCCCCCGAGAAAGACCCTCCTCGCCCAGGGACATAGCGCGGAAGACCTTACTGCAGCCCACACGTCCGGGTCTCCCCGTCTCCTAGGCCTGGTTATTAGGAGCATCTCGAGTGCCCCTCTAAAGAGACCGCACCGTGTAATCAAAGAACCATGCACTGTGCGTCCCCGAGGCCCTGGGTACTGGAGAACCACACATTGTAGCACTTTGTAGGGGGCCTTAGGTTCTCCTTGAGGTTGCCCGACACAGGGGCGGTGTTGAGGGACACTGAGCAGCCCTCCGAAGCCTGGAATTTTTGTGTTGGTGCATGAACTCCAATTGCCTCTATGTCTTCGGACATCTGTGTTACAGCATAGTCCGGTGATTGTTCATCAGCATGACCCTGAGTCATGAGTTCCTGGATTTGTTTCATGATCCTCCCACCTTGTTTAAGAGGGTGAAAAATAGGTTAATCCATTTTAGCGTTTCCACCAAAAACCCTCCTCCACGTCTGGTAATTAATCATTACCCTTAATCAAATCTCTAAATATTGACATTAAAGGAGAAATTTGGCTTTCTTAAAAGTGACTCTTATTCAGCCCATGCACTTAACAGTATAGCATTTTTGTTTAGTGGAAGTATAGGGAGCATCGTTCTGCAGAAATAGAAATTGTCGATAGAAACTCACCCTCAGAAATTGACAGTATTATGTAGTGGGGGAAATTAGGTATAGGAACACTAAAAGCAACAAAAGAGTTAACATAGAGGTCTCCAGACAAGGAGATAACTTGAGAAGCCATTTTAGTTGTCTCTGTACTAGAGCTGACTGAGGGCTGGATTTACAGGTATCAGAGATGGGCCAAAGGGCAATGAAAAGAGAATAACTTTCTCCCTGAGGACACCTGGCTGGCATCACCTCAACCTAAGGAGGCAATGTATGAAGACAAGCAGGTGTGAGAGTGTGGATCACAAGTACCATGTAGGACAAGTGGGTTCATTGAGATGTATTTGTTCAGAAGGCAACCAGGGACTGGAGTCTGGAAAAGTCTGAGCAGAGATACAGAGGGTGTCATAGTCCAATTGTTAGAACAGCTACAAAATCTCAGAAAACGCTGAGAAAATGTGCTGTGCTGTGCTTTACAAGACTGAATAGATAAAGATGAGCAAGTTAAATCCTCAAGTCTAGTGAGCTTTTCCTACACCTTCCAAGCCTTGTGCTAGGAATCCACAGATGAAAACAGGGCTTTTATGGGGGAGCCTCTAGGGGATCTTCTGATGGATCCACATATAAAAGCTGATGAATTGAAATCACTATGGGGTAATAATTGCAGAGAGATAAAGTGTTGCTGTTGGCAAATTGCAAAAGCTTTATAGTTCCAGTTGAATCTTTCTATACAAAGTGGCCAAGTAAAGGAGAGGTAGAAGGTACTTTTAGGTTTCAGAAACTGGAAATGCAGGTTTGTGGGTTACATGGTAAGGAGTGCCACCCAGATATGGTACAGAGGTGAATTGACATCAGTCAGAGCAGCCTGTGTGCTAGTCTGTAGTTTGGGTTTTTCTAGGAAATAATAATTTTAAAAAACAAACTGTATTCTAAAACAGGGCAGTTAAAGTGGCCAACTTTATTTAGAGAAAGTAATCAAAGAGCTTCATTTCTACTCCTTAATTTAATAGAGAGTAGAAAGTAATCACATATTTATTGTGTAGGATCCCAAATTGGGCATCATGAGGAATGTCAGAAGTAGTGTATTGGACCTTAAAGAGCTTGCAATCCTGGTGGGACATGCAACCAGCTAGCATATGACAGTGAATAAACACAATGTATTGGTGTGCCTGCTCTGTGTGGCAAAGGAATTGGCAGGAAGGCATTTGCTTTTTTTTTTTCTTCTTCTTTTCTTTTTGACAAGGGCTTGCAATGCGCATTGACCTTGGATTCATAATCACCCTCCATCAGCCTCCCAAATGCTGGCATTGTAGACGTGTGCCACACACTGTATTTTATTACTTGTTCTAAGCTTAAGGACTGTGTTTATTGGCCTGCTTTAATTTAGTATACAGACCTAGTGACCTAAACAGCCCAAACTTATTTTCTCATAGTTAGAGAAGTTGGAAATTGGAGGTAAAGGCCAGGTCTCTCTTGGGGTCTCTCCCCTTGGCTTATAGACAGCATCTTCTTATGTCCTCATAGCATCTTCCTCCATGTCTGTCTCTGTTCTAATTCTTTGTTTAAAGATACCATTTTATTGACTCAGGCACAATTTAACTTACTTAGCTGTGTAAAAATTTCAGCTCCAAATATGATTGCCTTTTGAGGTGCAGAGGTTAGGACTTCGACATACAGACTAGGGGTATTGGCTGAGAATGTTCAGCCCTAAAGGATTCCCAAAGGATTAGAACTTGAGATGAGTTGGAAAAGGAGTTTGGCACAATCTAGGATGGTTCAGGTTGAGTGGTAGAGGAGGTCAGGTGGGCAGATTGTGTCTCTGGGACAGAAACAGGAAAAAGCACAGTAGGTAGCTAAAGTATTTTAAAAGTAGTCTGAATATAGATGTCTATAGAGGCTTGAAGGCCATTTATTAAAGATTTTGTATTTTAGCCTGTTTTAACTAGAACAGAGGAGACTATAACATTATTCGGTTTTTTCATCTTAACAAAACATTACATCAAGACGGTTCCTGAGCTCCCTCTGCACTCCTGAGGACTACACCAGCCATCACACTTCTCTCTCCATCAAGATATTTAGCACTTTGAAATCAACTTTTGGGGTTTCCTTATCTCTAGACACTGGGGCTTTATGTCTTGAGTACCCATGTGTTCAGATATACATTTAACCATGCCTTGTGCATGGAAAGAGCCAGTGAGTAAGCTGAATTCATGGAAGAGATTGTATGCTGGGACACTAATGAAAGCCTTGCTTGAGAAATCTAGCATATGAAGAATGAGCATGAAAGGCAGAACAGGAGCAGGCAGCATGCAGAAATATGCCAGAATAAAAACTGGCTAACTGGTTGAAAAGGGAATTTATTGAAAACAATACATGATTATTCTTGAGGTTTGAGGAAAATCTTAAAAAAAAACAAAAACAAAAACAAAAAAAACCTTGGACCACAAAGGACAAAACCAAACCACTTGCAGGAATGTACGAGTCAGACATTAGCACATTGAATTTTCAGACCACACTGAGATCCATCAGTCAGTTCCACTCAGCTGTTGCCTTTGTCTTGTCATGAACCATAGTCTAGGGAGAAAGTTTCTAGTTGGCCTGGTTTTGGGTGTGTGCCTATAACCATCAGCTTGCACTTGCTAGGCAAGAGTGTTCTTCAAAGCAACACAGAGGGTCACTGAGGAAGGAGCAATAGCTGCTGGGTGGCCAGAACAGATCAGCAGAGACTGCTTGTTTGCTGTCCTGGCTGAAGCTGACAATCTACCCTTGAACCAAATTTGAACTAGAGAGAGGGAGGCTGAAATGTGTTGAAGTAGAGTACAGTAACTTGATACCATGAAGGATCCCTTTAGCCAATCTGGCTTTGAAACCTGAGGCACTTTAGATAATTTCTGGATATCTGCAATGTTACCAGGTGAGTGATGATAAGATCAAGTGGAGAGAAAGAGGGCTAAATCCAGAAGTGAGGGTTTGGGGATGAGCTGTGTATATGTAGTTAGATGTTGGATGTTCACCTGTGTCACCAGCATCCCTAGAGTTACAGGATCATGTTAGGTTTTTGTAAGCACTCTCCAACATTGCAAAGGGGCAGTGTTTACAGAGCTTAGCCTGAGGTTCCCACAGAGCTGTTACTGTGAGTTTTTTGGACTAGTCCCAGAGCCTAGCTCATTTGTAATGATCTTTAGTTATGGAACCATTTTCTTAAATTGAAATAGGGGAAATCATTTTGAATCATCTCCATCTCCTTCTCACCCTCCCTTCGTAGTATCCGTTGAGTTTCTGACTGTGTGCTTCCCTTTCTTATGCATCTGTCCCCAGAATACTCTGCTCCAAAATTGCCTGCCTTCCTTAAACCCCAAAGTCCTTATTCTGTGTAATATAACAACGGAAATACTTGGGCTTAATTAATTTATATTAAGATTATAGATGTCTCACTTCAGCATCTAGTGTATTAAAGGCATTTGCATGATGGCATGAAGTAATTTCATTGAGTCTAGCTGTGAGGGGCTCTAGAGTCCTTTTGGGGATTTGACTTGAGGCCAGGGTAAGCTTTAAAAGATTTTAAGCCTGGGCCAATCAGATAATATTCTTGGAAGTTCTGAGCCTTTGGTTTTAACTTCAATATCAAGTGAGTCCCAAGCCCTCTCTGATGTCCCACCAGTCACTCAGCCACCCTTCCACCTCCTGGCCACATTGATAGTCTCCTGATATGAGTGTTCTTCCGTATTCTGTGCTTTCTTTATCACATTGTTGTCTGCCCAGTCACAGGAATGTGAGGTGCAGGAGAACAGGAAGCCAGCCAGCAAGCTCACCTCCCATCATCAGCACCTCTTACGATGCACAGTGTACAGCGGGCTCCCAAACACTCGGGAGAGGAAGAGAGAAGGAAGATGTGTACTTGCCAGGTGGGATTTGCTCTGCAGACTGAACCTTTCACAAGTTGTTTTGTTTGTGCATCATGAGATTTCCACATGATACAGGTAGGGCTATCAGAAAGGATGAGCAGTCCTGACAAGATTGCATTCCTGATAGATGGCAGTAGACCAAAGACTTCCCCATGGATAGCTGTCTACCATGAGCTTTTTACTGTAATAATTCTCTCCATTTTCCCCACTTTGAATCTCCAGGAAACAACATTAAGTAGAACCATCTCAGGCAGAGTTTGGGAAGATATTTGTAGGGAGATCCAAGTGATGCGGAAGTCAGCCTGTTTCAGAATCTAGTTTTTAGGGGAGTTTGTCTCAGCTGCTTCTGCTCTTAAATGGGCCTTTTCTTCCATAGGTGAGCTTCCAGGCTTTTTTGCCATGGTTAAGTGATGGGGTTTCTGCATTAATGAGTCAGGTAGATATGAGCAGGCCAGGGACAGCAATGTCTGTGTGGTTTGTACATGAGATTTGTTGCTGCTGTGACTTGTAGTTAACTCATGCAGGAAAATGAATCTTCTATACCTTAACATTCATTGAGAAAGTACACACAGCAGTACAACTGCTGTTCTGAGGGCTGAGCAGCTGAGATGTCAACAGGTCAAGTCCAGGGGGTTCATCTGCACTTCCCCAGCTACAGTGTGCTGGATTGCCAAGTAACACACAGAAGCTCTGCTTTTCCCTTTTGCTTGCTCTCTCAAGATAGTATTTATACTTCAGTTGCTAAACTCAATAAGCTGTTACACTTGCTGTAATCAAAATGCAAGAATTCAAATAGTCCTAGTTTTCAGGTAGACCAGGACTGGGACCATTGCTTTCAAGTCCTTATAATTGAATTAAAGTGTAAAAGCAACCCATAAGTAAAGGTGAATCCATACCACCTGGCCTTCTCTTCAGTCTCTCCAGAGACTGTAGGAACAGGTGTCACTCTTCTGCTTATGATTTCCAGTGTCTTCATTTTGGTTCCCAGAGCCAAAATGAATATCTAGATCAGTGTCATGATAGTTCCCAGGATGACTTTTGTTCTCTTTCTTGTAATGCTGCACATACTGCCCTGTCCCCATTTGAGTTACCTTACTTTTTCTGCCTGTCTCTTCCCCATGCTTTGGTCCCTCATCTGGCTACCTCTCACCTGAGTCTGGTGGCTGTCACCTGTACTGCATCTTCTGTGATATCCATAGACATTTCTCTGTACCTGCATAACTGTACAGTGTTAACAGATTGCTGTATGCTATTCCTATGCAAGACTGAACTCCAGGAGCTAGGCTGTCCTTGTCTTGTTGACATCCTCTGTGGTTAGAGTTTTAGCACATTTTGGGTGGATGCTAGCTTACACCTGTGGTTTTAGATTGTCTTGGTATCTTGGTTTTTTCTCAAAAGTAGAGCTTGAAACAAGGATCTAAATATAGATGTTTGTATGGGCAGAGATTTCAGAAAGCTCAGAAAAGGAAATAGAAAGATACGGAGGCAAGATTGATAAGTTGTCACTCGCTTATAGAGTGTCAGAACTGAATCTCTTAGAAAAGGAGAGGCAGGGAGAGAAGCAGCCTGATTTCTCTGCCAAATCCATCTCAACAAAGACCACCCTTCTCCCTGTCCTGGCAGGATCCTTGACTCTTCCCATTGCTCTGTAGTTACTCCATTAGAAAGCCTAATAGCTCTGCCTTTACATCCAATGCTAGCCCCACCAAGCCATCATGGCAGTAGACTTCTCCAATGTCCTTTGCTTTGTCACCTGCTGTCCACAATAAAGCTAGAAATGTTATAATTAAGACATGACTCAGGCTTCTTCCCTGTGGTCCTCCAATGCCCCCCCCCCCGCCCCCATTTTCTACATAGTAAAATTCCCTCCCAGCTACCCAGCCTTACAGTCTGACTCCTGAGATGATATCATCCATGACTCCCAGCTTTTTGGGCTCCAGTTTTACATGACCTTGGTTCTTTCCTCTGTTGTATTGTCTTTACTTCGTAATCCCTAGGCTCATGCCCTGTTCTCTTGAGTCTTCTCAAATGTACTTCCATGACTGATGAATGGATGGATGGTAGGTAGGTAGACACTATTTGTAGGTACCAACTGATGGAATACTCATCCCATTTGTCCCTCAGCAACATTGTGTGGAAACAGTTACTGTCCCTGTTTGCTGTGCAAGGGAAAGACTAAGACTTGAGTAACTGACTGGCCTAGAACACAGGTGACTCTGACCTCCAAGAAAAAAATTCATTTACAACTCAACTGGATGCATACTTGCACACAGGGCATATGTCTGTCTGTAACTGAAACTGGTTTCCCAAGCGCTTGCCACATTTAGTACTTTCTGACATTTTCTCTGTTAGTGCTTTATCTGTTTTTAATTGCTGCTTTCAAACCATTAAATTGAGTTTAGAAAAAAAAAAAACCCACTTGACAAATATCTGCCCAACCTTTGCTTCTGGTCTGCTGTTTCCCTTGTGTCAACATCTTGAGAAATTCTCAGTGCTACAGACTGCCAGTGCATGGCTGAGTCAGTCTTGTGGCAGTATAAGCTCAATGCTTTTCTGCTGACCCCTGTAAAAAATGAGACATGTCTTTACACAGATGTGTGGTTCTTACAGTTTACTAGCAGTGAGGAGAAATGGAAATGGTTGGCAGAAGAAAAGGATCTCATCCAAGCCCTTGTTACAAGTAAACGAGCTACATGTCACTCTTAAAGAAAAGCAGGCAAGAATGAAGGGAAACCTGGTGGGTGCTAGATTCATTTCTAGTGGCAGAGCCACACCCCATCTACATCTTGCATTCTGTCCTCTCTGAAAACCAAAGAGCCTAGTCTCCAAGTGACCAGTAAAGGCTGACCCTGGAGAGCTGGGAGCTGGGGACTTGTTATGTCTGGGGCTGGGTGTGGTTCTTGGCAGCAATCCCTCTAGAATAAGCCTGTCAAATATGTATCTAGTCACTGTGGATATGTTCTAATAGTAAAAATCAGTGTCTGTCTCTGTCTCTGTGTGTGTGTCTCTGTCTTTGTCTGTCTGTCTGTCTCTCTCTCTCTCTCTCTCTCTCTCTCTCTCTCTCTCTCTCTCTCACACACACACACACACACACACACACACACACACACACACACACACACATACACATACACATTCTGTGGTGCTGGTGATAGGATTCAGGGCCTTACATGTGCTAGGCAAGTACTCTTCCACTAAGCTATATCCCCCTAGCTCCATGACAATACTGTTAGCAGGAGTCAGTGATATAAAACTAGACCGCAGAGAGGAGGTGCTCATAGAGCAGAGCCCATACATCATGTCCCATGGGAAGCCTGTTTTTTTCTAGAGCACCAGGGAGGGAGTGGTAACCTGGACCTTCTTCTTTGATACTAAGTTAAACTTATTCTTGCAGTCCTGATAGTTATCTGCACCTTTATTGAGTGTTTGCTATAGATGCTTGCTCATCTAATCTTTGCCACACACTTGCAAGAGGGCACAGTTGTTACCTCACTTCACACACGGACCCGTGTACAGAGGGCATCAGCTTACAGGGTAGAGCCTGTACCTCAGCCAAGTGTCTGGTCCCAAAACTCACACTCACCCACCAAGTTGCCTTCTCTCACCTTTAGAATTGAACAGAATTTCAGTGACCCTTCAGTTAAAATTCTTTAATCAGCTTTACAGCCAGGCTAAAGTTCTCTGTGCTGTTGAAAATGACATGTAGTAAGAAAATAGCATTTAAAAAAATCACAAGCAATTAGTATAAGAAGGAAAACAACCTTTTAATTCTCTGATGCTTCTAACCTTTATTAAACACTTTGACCTAGTAATTAGCAAGTAATTATTCCCTTTCCAAGTTCATTTTTTTTTAAGATATATTTATTTATTACATATACAGAAGAGGGTGCCAGATCTTATTACAGATGGTCACCATGTGGGTGCTGGGAATTGAACTCAGGACCTCTGGAAGGGCATTCGTGCTCTTAACCTCTGAGCCATCTCTCCAGCCCCCCAAGTTCATTTTTATAAGTCCACAGTCCATTATTAATTTTTAGCAGTCATGTTGAGTTTAAGTATATATCTTGTAAAACCTAAAGTATAAGATAGTAATAAAACTAAAGTAGAATTGTAGACTTGAGGAATTTTGACAATTCAAATAAACTAAATGTAACCAAGCATCAAATTGGTAAGGACCCTAAATGTTAAACCTCATTTTCAAGTGTCACCTCTGTGTACACCTATTAAGTTCGAGCAGACCTTTGATGGAATACAAATGCTGATGGTCTCACCTTCTGTCTTCCAGATAAACTGCAGGATGGAGGGACTGCTGCATTACATCAACCCAGCACATGCCATCTCTCTGCTCAGCGCCCTCAATGAGGAGCGCCTCAAGGGACAGCTGTGTGATGTACTCCTGATTGTTGGGGACCAGAAGTTCCGAGCTCATAAGAACGTCTTGGCTGCCAGCAGTGAGTACTTCCAGAGTTTATTCACGAATAAGGAGAACGAGGCACAGACTGTCTTTCAGCTGGACTTCTGTGAGCCTGATGCTTTTGACAACGTTCTGAACTACATTTACTCTTCCTCCCTTTTTGTGGAGAAGGGCAGCCTTGCTGCTGTGCAGGAGCTGGGGTATAGCCTTGGTATCTCCTTCCTGACCAACATCGTTGCCAAAGCCCCTCAGGCTCCTTTTCCAGCCTGTCCCAACAGGAAAAGAGTGCCGGTGGAAGATGATGAGACCAGCTCTCAAAAGCGAAGTGTCATCGTGTGTCAGGGCAGAAGCGAAGTGCCAGGGAAAGCCAGTGGTCCAGCCGTGCAGGACCTCAGCCTTGCTGCCCGGTCCTCCCCGAGTGGTGCAGTCAAGACCAGCACCAATAAGCCACATGTGGCCAAGCCGCCAGAGCAGCTTCACAGTCTGTCCTTAACTGAAAAGAGTTGGCCGAAGGATAGTGCTGCGGTATATGCAAAGTCTCTGGAACAGCCTGGGGCTTTGGATGATCCTAACAGGGGCAATTTGGTTAAGAGAAATGCAGTCCTACCCCCAAAGCCTTCACAAGACAGGGAGGCCACGGACGATAAGCCTGGGGTGAGCAGCCAGCTTCCCAAGGGGAAGGCTATAGAGCTGGCTCTGAAGAGACCACGGCCACCTGTTCTGTCTCTTCGTAGCTCATCAGAGACTCCATATCTCTTAAAAGAAACTAGCAAAGGAGGTGGTCAGGGGGAGGATAGGAATTTGCTCTACTACTCTAAGCTAGGCCTGGTGGTTCCATCCAGTGGGCCTGCTTCTGCAAACCAGAGCATTGACAGAAGTGGCCCATTAGTGAAAAGCCTCCTCAGGCGGTCACTGTCTATGGACAGCCAGGTTCCTGTTTACTCCCCCTCTATAGATTTGAAGTTATCCCAGGGATCATCCACAGCAGCAAATGAGGCACCAGGCAGTGTGTTCTGTGCAGTGTCTCAAAAGTCATCTTTAAAAGATGGCAGTGAAAAAAAAGCCCTGGATGACAGGCCTCAAGCTCTCCAGCCTCATCGCCTCAGGTCCTTTAGTGCTTCTCAGTCAACAGACAGGGAGGGGACCTCCCCTGTGACTGAGGTGCGCATTAAGACTGAGCCTAGCAGCCCTCTGTCGGACCCTTCAGACATCATCCGGGTCACCGTGGGAGATGCAGCAACGTCTACAAGAGACCTGCCCCTCAAAGCAGAGGAAGACCAGAGGGATATTAGCAGACTCCCAGCAAAGAGAAGGTTCCAGGCAGACAGAAGGTCACCCTTGAAGAAAGCAAGGGCAAATGAGCATGGGCCTTCTGTCTCAGAAGAGAACTGTGAGGAGGACAGGAGCCCTCCTTCCCTTGACAGCAACTTCCCAGATTCTGAATTAAACAGAGAGGAGTTTGGTGAGTTGGAGGGGACGAGACCAAACAAAAAATTTAAATGCAAACATTGCCTTAAGATTTTTAGATCAACCGCGGGTCTTCACCGCCATGTTAACATGTACCATAACCCAGAGAAGCCTTACGCTTGTGACATCTGTCACAAGAGGTTTCATACCAACTTCAAAGTGTGGACACACTGTCAGACCCAACACGGCATAGTGAAGAACCCATCGCCAGCCTCTAGTTCCCATGCAGTTTTGGATGAGAAATTCCAAAGAAAACTGATTGACATAGTGAGAGAGAGGGAGATTAAGAAGGCCCTGATCATTAAGCTGAGGCGCAGCAAGCCTGGCTTCCAGGGACAGAGTAGCTCCCCAGCACAGCAAGTCATCAAGAGGAACTTGCGCTCCCGAGCCAAAGGGGCCTACATTTGTGCCTACTGTGGCAAGGCATACCGTTTTCTCTCTCAGTTTAAGCAGCACATAAAGATGCACCCGGGAGAGAGGCCCCTCGGAGTGAGCAGAGCTGCTAAGCCGAAAGAGCGGGCTCTGGCACGCGCGGTAGAGAGCAAGGAGGTTTACCCGTGCCGCCTCTGTAATGCTAAGCTCTCTTCTCTTCTAGAGCAAGGCAACCACGAGCGCTTGTGCCGGAACGCCACCGTTTGCCCTTACTGCAGCCTCAGGTTCTTCTCCCCCGCGCTGAAGCAGGAGCATGAGGACAGGTGTGAGTACAAAAAGCTGACCTGCCTGGAGTGTATGCGCACCTTCAAGTCTTCCTTCAGCATCTGGCGGCACCAGGTAGAAGTGCACAACCAGAACAACATGGCTTCAGCAGAGAACATCTCCTTGCCCACCCTGGACCACAACGGTGAAGTGGCAGCTGCTTCCAGGCCTCAGGCTGAGCCTACCAAGGTAAACCATGCGGCTGCTCCAAAAGAGGACACAGCGTTTAGTGACTCTTCAGAGCAAGTGAACTTCGATTCTGAGGATTCCTCCTGCCTCCCTGAAGACTTGAGTCTTTCAAAGCAACTGAAAGTCCAAGTCAAAGAGGAGCCTGTGGAGGAGGCTGAGGAGGAGGCTCCTGAGGCCAGTGCAGCTCCCAGGGAGGCTGGCCCCAGCAAGGAGGCTGGTCTGTGGCCTTGCGAGAAATGTGGGAAGATGTTCACAGCACACAAGCAGCTGGAGCGACACCAGGAGCTGCTGTGTTCCGTGAAGCCCTTCATCTGCCATGTGTGCCACAAAGCCTTCCGTACCAACTTCCGGCTTTGGAGTCACTTCCAGTCCCACATGTCTCAGGCCACAGAGGAGCCTGCACAGAAAGAGGCTGAGGTGTGTCCTGTGCCCACAAACTCCCCATCACCACCACCTCTGCCACCTCCACCACCCTTGCCCAAGATCCAGCCCCTGGAGCCCGACAGCCCCACAGGCCTTCCTGAGAACCCAACCCCAGCCACAGAGAAGCTGTTTGCACCCCAGGAGTCAGACACCCTCTTCTACCACGCCCCTCCCCTTTCAGCAATCACATTTAAAAGACAGTTCATGTGCAAGCTCTGCCATAGGACATTCAAGACCGCCTTCAGTCTTTGGAGTCATGAGCAGACACACAATTAAATGACTTACCCCTCTCACCTGTCAGAAAACAGCAGGCCCCTGACTTGTGAACTGTGTCCTAAGACAACATTTTTTTTTTTTTTTAAGTAAAGGTTGGAAATTGTATGAATTTTAGGTTTGGGATAAATTGATATTGGCTTGGAATGTCCTTATAGCTTCAGAAACAAACTCTGAAATATTGTGGCTCTGGACCTCAGTCAGCAGGGGTTTGATTCTGTTACTGTTGAAGTTGGGTTAATGTTGGTGAATTGCATGGTTCCTCATTCCAAGGTGTCACTATAATGACTTGATTGAGGTTTTTGGTTTTTGTTTTCTGGGTAGTGGGATACTAGGGTATTGTTGGGGTTTTGGTTTTGGGTTTTTTAATTTATTATTTCAGACACCTAAGTTTGAGGTACCCCCTAGCCATGTTTCTAAGGCCAAAAACATATGAAGAAGAAAGGAAGTTGTTTGCAGTATTGAGTCAGATTTTAGAATACCTTAGCAATAAGAAAAGACAAACCCCAACTTTAGTAAATTATCCTGACACTTGATAAGACAAATATTTGGTATTTTGTGGTCCTTTGAAACTTTCTTTTTGTATGAAAATTGTGAGAATTTAAATCAGCAATAGTCACAATTAGATTTTTTTATGACAAGCTGTCAATCACTTCGTATAATCAGTAATGGCCATGTGCTAAGGAGGGCAGAGAAATGGAAGCATGTTTGTGAAAAGCTCAACAGTCAGCAGCAACAGATTAGTTGTGAAAGCCACTGAACTCTGTGGTATGCCCTCTGCATTATAGCAGCTTTCAACGGGCACTTTAGAACTGACAGTGCTTGGTCTCCACCAGCTTGAAACTCGTGTTGTTGGGATAAGCAGTGCTAGCCAGCATGAAGTTACCGGTGCACAGCCTCACCACACCCTGGACCACCATTCCTTCTAGGGGCTTCAGAGGTTGGAGGAAGTGCCACATTGCAGCTTCCATGTGCTTTCCAAGAACTGTATGCACAACATACACATTTCTGCCTGTCTTTTGTGAGGATGTCTATGGGAGTATTGACGTGGATAGCAGTGAAAATGTCACTAGCAAAGGTCCAAAATTAGTTTTTGCAATTTGATTTGGTACTTAGGGTTTGGGTTTCTTTTTTTTTTCTGTTCCATGTAGGTTATAATTAAAAGCCTCTCCATAGGCAATATCCACAGTTTACTGTATTTCAAAAAGGCAAAATTTTGATTTCACTCCCCCAAGGGAGTATCATACCTGGAAAGGAAATTAGGAGACAAATTCCCTATTTACTTTTGCCAAGAGCTGTTTCTTTACATTTTCAAGGTGTGCTCTAGCAGAGACACCACCCATCTGCTCACCAGCACTCTACACCCATGGTAGCAAAGGCAGTCTTTATATTAAAACAAACATTTTTATAAAATACTAATTGACTTTATATACTATAGAAGCTGTATGTGGAATTTTGACTTTTATCCTTTCACTTGAAAAGGCTATTGAAAATTCCTAAATATGTCTGCATTTCCTATTTTGTTCCTTAAATTTTAAGAGAAGGGAAATAAAATTAGGTTGCAGTTACTGATTCTTGCCATCTGCTTTTTTGAACTATGCATTTTAGAGATGAACTAACAGTGTCCACCTTTTAATGAATGAAGCTAGTGCCAGGCTGTGTAGCTGTCCACTGCACTCATTCCCTGTGGTGAGTGTCTGGTCTCTAAACACCTTGGAGTGTCACCTTTTTTAAGACCATCTCCCTGCATGGTCATCTCCTGTGTAGCTACAGAGCGATAATCTCCAAACCAGACATTACCAGATCAGTGCTCCAGGACTTGAACCTATGCTACATTTTTGAAGATTTATAAAATAACATTGTTACAAAAAAAGAAAAAAAGTATTTTTTATCTAAATGTAGGGTCTGCATATCTGTTAGGTTTTACAAATTATCAGTGTTTGTCACCTTTTTTGTCTAGGAATATAAAGCATAAGACTTCAAATAAAATTTTGAACCAAAAACATTTATAATGCAGTTGTGGTTTTTCTATTGCTTTTTTATACTGTATCTTAAAAGATGTCAGGCCGAAAGAGTTTATTTTGGTGTCAAAAACTATCCTTCCACTCATGTAACTATTTTAAATGCTAAGAAACAAAATAATGAAAGACATTAATCACTGTATTCAGTAAACAGTTTTTTAGAGAATGTCTATCTCAGCTAGCAGGCAGATGTTTGGTGTATTAAATAAATAGGTCTTTCACCATTGTAAATCTTTAGATAGTAAAGATATTCTTGTAAATGTTTTTCTGATTGTAATTAATTTTTGCAAGTATAGAAAGCACATTGTTTCTGTAATTATTTAAGATGCCTGCTTTTTTTATGCAGTTGTGGAAAGAATGTAAACTGTTTTAATATATTCTTTGTTAACCTAAAAACTTGTTACTGAATTGTTTTCTTTATGTGGGGAGGATTGAGTACCTAAAACATGTTTTTCCTACTAAGAGTAAAAAATTAAGCTAACAGATCTTACATCTGAGGGTTAGCATTTCCAGATTGCTAAGCAAATTCTCCCTTTAAAACTAGTTATGCATCTGTGGTTCTGCCAGATATACAGCTGACCAGGGCTGTGTGTATTCTGCTTTTCTGTTTCAGAATGTGTCCTTCTCTTTGAAAAGATTGCCTTGTACTCAGTCGCTTACCACCTGAACCTACATGTAGCCTGTGCTGGCACTAATGAAAGTGGTGACTGAGATGGTAAGATGGGCCTCTCCTTGAGACAGAGGCCTGAATACCACCTTCCCAGGCCTGGTCGGCTGGAAGGCAGGGCCTGAAGCTGTGTTCCCTGTGGTTGGGCTCTCATGAATATGTGTGTGTGTGTGTGTGTGTGTGTGAAGTTGGTGCATTTCCTTAGTACAAAATGAGTAGCTTTCATTCCTTCAGATTTCTTTATAAATCCTATCCATTAACCTTTATTAGAAATTCAGTCAGTTTGTTAATTTCTAATATCTGATTAGTGGTTTGGGGGTAGTTGTGAAATGCATTAACGACTCAGATAATACCAGTGAATAACCTTCTTAAGTATTCTTTAAAAATAGATTTTAATCCAGTTACATACCCATCATCACTGTATTCTCTGTTTGAGAAGCTGAGCCCACAAGTAGCATAGTGAGACTGTCTCCAAAAAACAAGTCACAGTATTCAAGTGGTGCTTCAAGTATTCAAATATTGCTGTGACTTTAGCACTGTAAGACATTTGATACTTTTGTGATTTTTAGCATGCTTTTCAGTTCCTCTGTGAGGACTCCAGCTGAGGGCTTTTCTCCAGGACAGGGAGCTAAATTGGGATTCAGATTCTAGAGAAGAAAAGAAAGTTAGTGTCCGGTGTTTTAAAGATTCCTTTTAGAAACAGACTTTGGGGAATCCGAAGTATTTTCCTGTAAATCTTTACAATAATTGGATTCCACATTCTTGGGTCATTTGTGTATACTGTCTGAATTGCCACAGTTCTTGGTTAATATTGATTCTCAGAAGGTGACCATTTGTAGCTGGCTTTAATCCAAATTGCACTGAGAGCAGTTTTTCATCAGATTCTGTTTAAGTGAAAGCAAACGGGTTTTATAATTGTGTACACGTTTGGTTGTTACATGCTTTTGCAGAATAGACTGCTTGGCTTTTTTTTTTTTTTTTAGAAATAACTTTTTGGGGACTGAAATTGAATAGTAATATAAGGATGTAATGATGCTCCATTGCTTATTTAATTCTGTAGTCTTTCCTTCGTTTAATGGTACCAACAATGTGCTGTGCTCTGAGTTGTACTGCCACTGGTACCCTCTCTGCTTTGAAAATCATCACTGGTGTTGATGACAGTGAAGGGGGACTCTCCTGTCAGGATGATTGGAGCAGCACTGGAGAGTTTGGGGGTACTTGATTTTCTTACCCTCTACCCCTATTCCAAGCTGCCTCTGGAATTAAGTTGCTAGAGCTCTCAGGTGTGTGGGGTACCACAAGTATGTAAACATTAAGACTAGATGGATGGGCATCTGTGCCTGTCTGCTTTGTGTCATTCCTGCTCAGATTCAGTTTGAAACCACCATTTACTATCACAAGGATGATCTTGTGTTAGTGAGGAGGGTGTAAGTAAATACATGACAACGTCTGAGCACCTGCCTTCGTGCTAAGCTAGTCCTGGCTGTAACATTTTTCACTGTAATGAGGCTCCTCCATCACAGAGATATAGTCCCACTTTATTTTTGCAAATACCTGGCTGTGGGTATGTCACCAAGGTAACAGAAAGGGCACAGAGAGAATGGGCAACTCCTCCGATGGATGGAGCTGCTTGCATTCCCTCCAGCGACTTTGCTTCCCTTGCTAGAATCCAAAGCCAGTCTGTTGGGTATGTGTGCCTAAATTTCTTCAGCACACCAAGGACCAATGATGCTGTTTGTTAACCTCTTCCCTCCCCCTGCTTACCCAACAGTTCAACACAGAACTGAGTTTGAGCTAAAGAATTTGAACATTCTTCTTGGCAGCCATCAGCTTTCTGGGTTTGGATCTGTTGCTCTCCTGCAGCCTCCTCAGTCCTCATCACACACAAAATCTCTAAGTGCCATGCTGCCAAAAGCAATGCCTAATGTCTAATGGTTTCCCAAAGAGACTACATTATGTCTTGGTTCTTATGGACATGGGCTATAGGGGACAGAAGGACCAGGTGGCAGGTACTACTCATGCAAGGGCATTGGAGAGTACATCCCTGTGATGCATAGTGCTTTACAGAATATTCACTTGAGTCCCAGCTATAGCTTTGATTTGGAGATTATGTGATTGGCTGTCCACCCTGTCTTCCACAGTGGAGCTGTGTTAGCTCCATGTCATGACAAAACCCTAAGGTGACTTGAAGGAAGAAAGGCTTACTTGTCCCATAGTGTCAGAGGTTGCAGTCAATGGTGAACTGCTCCATTGCTTTGAGCCTGTGGCAAGGCAGAATGCCATGGGGAGAACATTGTGGAGCAGAGCTGTTCACCTCACAGCTAGGCACTGTGGTCCCCTTTGAGGTATAATTGCATTGACTTACTTCAACTGGATTTCCCTCCCAAAGACTATACTACCTTCCATTGGGACCCTGATTGGTCACCAAGCCTACAGCACATAGCCTTTGGAGGACATTTCAGATGAAAACCATAACAGATCCCTCAGTCCATCCATTTCTTGTCTACCTTACTAGATGAAGCAGGCCCAGGACATGGTATTGTATCTTTCAGTATTCCCACGCCTGGCATAGAATGATGCCTATTAGTTAGCAGATAAATTCACAACAAATCTGGTCACAGGCAAGGGACAGCCAAGTCAATTTATCTTCAGCTAGTAGTAAAAACAGTGAGTTTCTACATTCAACTATTCAGTGAGATCCAAGGTGTATCTTCATTTTTAGATGAGTTGCAGCCCCAGAAGGAATGGCCAGATTTAGACAGGCAAGCCCCTCATACTCAAATACCACTAGGTGCTACCAACACAGATAAGCTAGGTGCAAGTCATTGGTGCTTCTCAATGTGCAGCTCAAATGATATCATCAGTATCCCTAAGAAGAGAGGTAACAGCTGACACCAAGTGCTTGTTAGACACCAGAGCTGGGCTTGCTTTCACTTTATTTCTGTTTCCAATCTTAGGCAACCCAGTCATAGCTGGTCTTCTTTCATGTGGATATTCCTTAACCTATGATTCTCATAGCCCTGGTCGTTTGGACAATTGTGAGCTGGTCCTTTGGTAGAGTATCCCTTGATTGGATCAGCCCCTGCCATGCATATGTTTGGAGGCAGTGTTGTGCCCGTGTTGAGAGACCCCCAAGCAAGACCACCACAGAGCCAATATCCAATGCAAGTACAAAAGGGTTTATTAAAACAAGCAAGGCCGGGATTGGTCAGTGTCCAACATACTGGCCAGCCAGATGAAGGAGGATGGCCCTGAGCTCTCAGAGTGAAGGGTTTTTAAAGGGAAAAACCGAAAGCTAGGGGGTACAAGCCTTTGCATTCCAGGGTCATACTTCAGTTAACAGGAACATTTAGCCAAGAGAAGAACTACAGAAGACAAAATACAGTTGGAGACTCTCCCAGTACTATTGGAGACTTTGATGGATTAAGCCTTTGTTTTAGCTATTACTTGGCCAGCAGCCTGCCCATCCTGAGGGTGGGGGTCCCCTTGACCAGAGTCTTAGCTGGCTGGCTGTGTCTGGAACTTGGTTCAGTTTCTATCTTAGTGCTGTTAGGAAAAATGGAGTTTGTCTCTCTCACCAGCGTAACTCAGAAACCATATTCTCTTCACATCCCACCATGGGGACACAAACATATACACAACTGTAGTGTATTTGTCCTGTTTCTGGTGTGTTCCTTTCAGTCTTGTGCCTGAGGCAGATGCTGCCCATCTTCTCTGTACTTTCTCCCTTTCAGCCAGAACACAATTTATGGAAGATGTTTTGAGACTCTAAAAGCCCATTCCTTTTCTCAACCTTATCCTGTAGTTGTGGCTAATAATCACTGCCTAAGTTATGTGGTAATATTGTGTCCCCCCAATATATTGTGTACCCTAATAAACTTATCTGGGGTCAGAGAACAGAGCAGTCACTAGATAGACATAGAGGCCAGAAAATGGTGGTACACAAACCTTTAATCCTATCACTCAGGAGGCAGAGATCCATCTGGATCTCTGTGACTTCAAGGCCACGCTGGAAACAGAGCCAGGCAGTGGTGGCACACATCTTTAGTCCCAACACTTGAGATCCCATGTCTTTGCTTGGGAAGGACACACACCTTTAATCCCAGGAAGTGATGGCAGGAAGCAGAAAGGTATATAAGGTATATAAGCCAGAAACTAGAGGCTTTTAAGCTTTTAGGCTTTTAGCAGAAGTTCAGCTGAGATCCATTGAGGTGAGGACTCAGAAGCTTTCAGTCTGAGGATTTGTGGAAACAGGATCGGCTGAGGAGTTGTCGAGGAGAGGTTAGCTGTGGCTTGTTTGGTTTCTCTGATCTTTCAGAATTCACCCAACATCTGGCTCCATGTATTTTATTTAATAAGACCTTTAGCAATCATCTTACAAAGTTATTTTTATTTTGTAGTCACTGCCAAATGGGTATTCCCTCATCTCACCCTTGCTTCAGTTATTTATGGATTTTCTTTTCTGCAAAACAAATGAACAGCACAGCCCCCCCACTCCCCCACTCCTTGTACTGACTTCCCTGTCTACTCTTGTGTGCTCTAGAGTCACTGATCCTGTTCTATACAACTGGCTATACCCTGTAGCCTGCAGTCTTTAATGCTTAAATTAGTCTAAATATCCCTTCATGTATTTTGCTTTGAGGCACTAGATGTTACATAACCTTAAGGCATTCTTTCCTCCCAGATGTCTGAAACTAGCCATTTCCTTAGGAAATTCAGTTATTTTGGGGGGGAGTCAGAAAGGAGAAGCATGATGCTCAGTTGGCACTCAAATGTGGATACCCTATGTCCTTCAGCAGCCCAGCTTAGAGGGGAA